TCTGGTCAAAAATCACAATTTTTTCGATAACTCAGCCATTTCTTGGCGGATCCTTCTCATCTTCGAACTCGACCGAGATATTGTCAAGACTAAGCTGTGTAGAAAATTTCATCGCAATCTGCCTCTCCTTTCGAAAGTTATCGTGTAAACGGCCGGACGGACACACAGACCGATTTTAGTAGTGTACTCACTTTTTGAGTACACTAAAAACTAAGTTGATCTATGTATGATCTAAAGAGTTTTTGGAACTTCTTTTGATATATGATTTCATGAACTTGACCAAGAAAAGTACTAGTGGGTCGATTGAACCTCTTATTCGCTCTCATCCTTTCGAATTTCGATTTGAAACTTTACACATTATTCATGAGGACAGCCAGAATGTATTAAATTGAAATACTGTATCTCCTTAGCAATAATCAAAGAGCCTGAACTCTTATTAGACTATTCATAATTCATTAGATTCTACATGATGTTATTTCGTATTTCACTAGAACAAGAAAAAGTTAAATCAACAGATAAAGCCGATAGTGCAAAAACCAAAGAAGAACCACCTAAAGTATCCACTGGTACCAGTGGTCCAGCTCCAAAAACAACTCCTTCTGTACCAGCTGTACCTAAAGGTCCACAACGTGAAACACCAACATCACAGATCTCGGTTACACCTGCTAAATTATTTCAAACACCAAGTACTGCTGGAATCGATCCAAATAAAATTACTGGTACACGATCGGAAACAAGAGTTAAAATGTCTCGAATGCGTTTGAAAATTGCTGAACGTCTTAAAGAAGCTCAAAATACTTGTGCAATGTTAACAACTTTTAATGAAATTGATATGAGGTTTAAATAAAAAAAAACTAAATCAATTATTTAAAATTTAATTATTTTTAGTAACATTGTCGAATTTCGTAAAAAATTTGCTGACCAATTTCTTAAACGTCATAATTTGAAATTAGGATTTATGTCAGCTTTTGTTAAAGCATCAGCATGTGCTCTTGCTGATAATCCTATTGTCAATGCTGGTATATATAATTAGTTTTTATTATTATACAAATTTTCATGTTTTGTTTTCTACTTAAATTATAGTTATTGACGGAAATGAAATTGTCTATCGAGACTATGTTGATATTAGTGTTGCTGTTGCTGCACCAAAAGTATTTATTAATATTACTTTTATAAAATATGGGTTTCTTCGTTTTTTTTTTGTAGGGTTTAGTTGTACCGGTACTTAGAAATGTTGAAAAAATGAACTATGCTGAGATAGAACGAACAATTAGTGAATATGGTGAAAAAGTAAATGATTTGTTTTGTTTTTTAATTTTTATGAAATGAAATACCTAGTATAGCAAAAGTTTTGCATGTAATTCTATTTAGGTAACATGATAAAACGCTGTTAATTTTTTTTTTTTTCAAAATATATTCATTTTGATTATAATATTTCGAATCAATCAGACATCGACGAGTGTTACCTTCCAAACATGAACTTTCTTGACTGTTGTTAACGTTAAGGAGAAATCAGCACTGATTTCATAGAAAGTATTGATGGAGTAATAAACATTTGTGTCGTTTTATCGAGCGTAGAACAGTCCATTTTATGTAACATTGATTTAATTAAAAATGACCTTCGCTGTCAATCATAAAATAGACTTTTCCGATTTTTCCCTGTGGGAAATAGAACGATGATTCAAATGTTTAATGTTAGTAGTCAAGTCAAATTTCGGAAATAGCTATAAATATCCGAGTAGACTTTTGTCAAACTTCCCGATATATTATCTATGTATTTGTTTTGTTTTTTTTTCTTTTTAGGCTAAGAAAGGCTCACTTGCTATTGAAGATATGGATGGTGGTACATTTACCATTAGTAATGGAGGAGTGTTTGGTTCGTTATTTGGTACACCAATTATAAATATGCCACAAGCTGCTATACTTGGTATGCATGGAATATTTGATCGACCGGTAGCTATTAATGGCAAGGTATGATTTTATTTTGATTTGTCCTTGATTTTTATTTCTTTTTCTTGTTAGATCGAAATTCGTCCAATGATGTATGTGGCACTTACATATGATCATCGTATATTGGACGGTCGTGATGCAGTTCTATTCCTCCGAAAAATCAAACAATATGTCGAGGATTCACGTTCGATCTTTCTCGATTTATAAAAAAAAACAAACAAACAAAAGAGATCTGATGGATCTTAAGAAGAATGAAAAAGAATTATTCTAGCATCGTTTTTTCATCAGTTTTTTTGTTGATGTTCTCTTTTTCATTTTGACATTTTGCTTAAATCGATCCTTTTCTTCTTTTATTATTTTCTTTCCAGCATATAGGCGGATACTGTAGTGAAGACAAAACAAAAATATTCGAATATCCTATCCAAGTACACATACACTACTATCTGTTTGTTTTCTCTCCTAGTTTGATTAAATGTTTTCCTTATATTATTTTACTTTTGTGTGAGTTCTACCTAGGCACAAGAAAAGAATAGATTAAAACAAACAAACAAAATATATGCATTATTGTCTTTTTCTTTTCTTTTTTATAGTAAATGGAATGAGCGCGTAATGTAAGATGTTGGTCATTGATTAAATATTATATCTAAGGGGACATTTGTTAGATTGCCTTGAAGCATGGAATGAATACATATACGATAATTGTCATTCCGCCTTTCCCCTTTTCTATCGTTCTTTTTCTTCCTTTTCTTTTTGCGGTTTCTAACAGATGAACATTGATAGATGTACACATACAAATGAAATAAAAGGGAGGAACGAGAGAAAGAGAGAGAGAAAAAAATGCTGATCACTTCTGTTCTATTGCTGTCGTTGCCATTGAGGTTAAGAGTAACGTTCGATTTCATTTCTTTCTCTTGCCTCCTTCGACACCTGATGAATGTCAGTATTAGTGCTTAGTCAGTTGTCGTAGAGATTGAACGAGTGTTGTCAGCTGTCGTACGTCACCGATGTCTGGTCATCATCATTATCATCATCGTCGGTGTTTCTCATTGAAACGAACGAGTGAATTTGCACAATATTGGTTACATGAACGTACATCGTCCTCATCTCGTCGACATCAATCGCTCAAACGCGATACTTCATCGATTGTCGACATTAGTCAGAAGGTAGTTTTTATTCGTATTGTTGATTGATTTATAAACGATATTAAGGATATAATGACGTTTTTATAATTTTCTGGCATATATATATATAAAGATCATATTAATTTGTTGTTATCAATTGATATACTAAAGCATAATTGGTTTATATTTGTAGAACATTGGCCCAAGAATGGCCAAAAAGAATTATGATCTTCTATTCAAATTATTATTAATCGGCGATAGTGGTGTGGGTAAAGTAAGTAATTATCTAAAAACAAGAGTATAAATAATTGATTATTTTAACATTGTTTTTTTTTTTTTATCTTTTTTTAAAGACTTGTATTTTATTTCGATTTTCTGATGATTCATTTAATGCTTCATTTATCTCTACGATTGGTATTGATTTTAAAATAAAAACAATCGAACTTGAAGGACGCAAGATAAAATTACAGATATGGTAAGACATATAGAATTAAAATGATGACGATAAATATGAATCAAAATAATAAATAATACTGTCTTCTAATTTCATATATTTGCCTTTGGGAAACAATGTCTACACGTACGTGTAAAGATAATCATCTCTACCTGCCTTCGAAATGAATGAATAATATTGCGTGTTAGTCATACTATTCGTTATGTAATCAAGTTTGTCGTTAGATTTTATCATAGAAGAATCTCTAATTATTCAAGCAGTCATATCCTAAAGTTGTAATAGATTAGGATTGAGATCACTACATACAATTCCCATGAGTAATACAAAAAAAAATCATCAGAACATCAAGATATAACTGTTTATTTTCAATTTTATCTATTCATTTGTATTACTTAGGGATACTGCCGGTCAAGAACGATTTCATACAATTACTAGTAAGATTCATCTTTTTTTTTCTTAATAATAATAATAATTATTATTATTATTTTAGCATCTTATTATCGAGGAGCAACTGGAATAATGCTTGTTTATGATGTGACACAAGCACGATCTTTCGAAAACATAAATAAATGGCTACGTAATATTGATGATCATGCATCTGATGATGTCGTTAAAATGCTTATCGGTAATAAGTGTGACATGGACGATAAACGTTGTATTACACGAGCACGCGGTGAAGCATTAGCACGCGAACATGCAATACCATTTCTTGAAACATCAGCAAAAAATAATATTAATGTTGAAAAAGCTTTTTTCGAAATGGCAAGACTAATACTTAAAAAGACTCCAGTAAATTCAACTGAAGGAACATCTGGAATATCTCCTGGTCTATCACAAGGCAATAGACAACCGAATCAATCAAATTGTATGAATTGCATGTAGAACGAATTGAAACGAGAAAAAAAAGAAATCAGTCAATGTATATCCTTAAATCAGTCAAAGTACAGAAAAAAAATTCGAAGATTTATTTGTTCTTATAATCAATGTCGTCGCATTTTCTTTTTCTATATCTGTTGTTGATTCTATTCTTTCTCTCTTTAAAAAGATGCAGTTGCATGTGTAATTTTTCTTTCTTTTTCTTTTTTTTCTATCTTTATCAAATGGTATGTGGACATGTTAATATATAATGAAACTTTCAGAGAGAAAAATCAAAAAAAAAAATGAAGTAAATTTATATTGTGTCAAGAAATCTTTAAATGCCATGACCCAGTTGAAGTGAAGCTATAAAAAAAAAAAGTGAATACTCATAAATGTATATTTTATCAACTGTTCAATTACATTTACAACCATCTCTATTTCACACTTTTCACCATCAGTACATTTTTTGAGACAGTTCCGGTTCTTTTATCGATGCTATTGAAACTTGATTGATTTTTGTAATCATTTGCAACCTGAAGATGATCTGTGTGTAAAAGAAAAAGAAATATTGTATTCGTTGATGAATTAAACCATTGTGATCAATTAATTCACATGAAATGAGTATAGAATTGTGAGAGACATGTCTAAAAAGAAAGTTTTCGTATTGATAGATCGCTTTTGAGTTGTAACTTTTTTAAAATGAATACCGTTGTCTCTCCTAGGAACACCAGAAAAACTGATTTTCGAATTTTGACTTCAAACCTTGCCATAGGAACAGGCTTTAATAAGAATAACTTTTTGTCAATGTCTTAGATCTTGCCGTTGTTCCTATCCTAAGATTCAACTGTGGTAATAGCGTGTTTTTCACATTGCTTATACGAACTGATAGATTTGATATTCTTAATTCAGAATGGAAGCAAGTCATAAGATCTGTTTCTACGCAAAGTTTCACGACAAAACTCGAACATTATTTTTTCTGGTATTCTTGAGGAGAAGGATCACGGCATGAATTCTTTTCAGAGTATTCATAGCTCGTTTCGGTGTACATATTGCACATTTTGTTGAATCAAAAGTGATTTATCAATCGGAGGACTTCTCTCGTAAGAATATGTCTCCTGAGATAGTAGAATTTACTTTACATGAACTATTCTCGTATATCCTACTTATAACAATGAAAAGATCGAATTGTAATAATTGTTAATATTACCGAACTTCGACACAGCCCAGTTTACGGGTACTCAAAGGTCGCTGATCTACCTATTAATTAGTTAAAAGATTTTCCCATAGATATTCTTGAGAGAATTAACTAATTATTTACCGACAAAGTTATTATTAGTTCTACTATGTGTACTTACTCGCACTTCATTGTAGGCAATTTGAGCCAAAGAAAGGATTAAATTCGACCCACGAGTCGAGATTCTTAGTATATGGGTGATAATTGTGTAATCAGATCAGTGCTAGGCTTAGGCTAGTCCATCGAAAAGTCTGCTGTGCAAGTGTTTCAAACACTTGTAAAAACACGAAAAGATTCTCATTATTTCAAAATAAGCCTTTAAGAGGTATTTTTTATTCTTTCATCCTAATCGCGTGCCGCTTATTCGTTGATTTTATCACTTCCACATTAAAATGTTAAGTAAGCGATGAAAAATCAATAGACAATTCATGATTACCTGCTGCTTTTTTTTTATAATTATAGTGTACTGTCAATTACAGCGCTGTATCTCTTGAATCATTCGGATCAGTCAGCAACGCAGAACGTAATTATATACATTTATAAAAATATCTAAATGCAGCTCGATATACATATGAACAATTGCTTATTAACTGGTGATAAGTCTCAATATTACCCTATAGGATGGTAAAAAAACAACTTACTCCTTTTCTAAATATTCTTCCTGTTCTTTTAGGATTAAGCTTTTAGCCTAATCCTTTCTTTAGTAGATGTAGTTAAGAAAAGCCTACTAGATAGAAACATTTTTATTTTGAAAACATTCCAGCGTTACTAGAAACAAATAATAAATCCATGAAGTATGAAATTAGCGCTGGAACAGTATATCCTCACCTAAAGCAAACAAAAAAACCTCTCCTTAAAATTTACTATTGACTTCAAATTTAGTGTAATTATAGAGTGAGTAGTATACTCACTATAGAAAACATTTCGGTTTAAAAAGCATTATTTGTAACTAAAACGAATTCAATTGACGAAAGCATCGAATCAGTACCATACATCACTTTATGAAAAAATATACAATCGAACTGTGGTACAGATAATTAATAATCTTAGCAAGCTGACAATAATTCTTAATAATTTATGTTTAATTAATTTGCCAACATTTAGAAATATGGCTTGGGAATATCAGGTCATCATAGAATTCTCCCAAAAGATCAAGAAATAGGGAAAATAATTTCTTTCCGAAACGGATTTCATTTTTTCAAGTTCATTTTTCTTCTAACTAACATTAGAAACTTTTCAAAATAAAGACATTTTTATTTAGTAGTTTTTTTCAGCTCTAACTATTGCAAACGGAATTGATTCAAAAAATGAATGTTATGATCTCAGGAAATACATTTTTTAAGAAACTAAATTGTTTTTGACCTCCCTGTATAAAGGTATGAATTTTCATCACCGTCAGTCATCAATGAAAATACACACTAGGCTTTTTCATCTCATTCCTACAAATTTAAAAATAAGCATGATAGACAGATGGTCTACTTGACCTACACGTGTTTCGAACAGGCTTGATAATCTGCTTGAATCTCTGTTGTTTCTGCTTCAATAATAACTTCGAATGCTTTAAGCATTCTCGGCAAGCCTTAATGATTTTTTATAGCTTTTCTGAGTCGCTTTGTCATGATTTTACTGTTACATATGCTTAACTGATATGAGAGTGGATGTGACTGACGAGGGAACGTTCCCAACTGTCAAATCGCTTTTTCAATGAAACATACTGGATTATAGGTTATCGACTATGCTGACTCCGAATATTAAAACAAATTTATTACTATAGCATTATGAATAACTGTGAAAAATTAAGATAAACAAAAAGATACTTCAAATAATCAAAAGGTATTATTTCGTATTCCAGTAAAAATATTTTTCAAGTGAAAATATAATATTAGTGTGTTTAGTTGAAGAGAGGAAGAGAAAGCTCATCCATTTTGAGTAACTAGAAGCATATGTGGATAGAATAGTTTACGACTATCGCTGTTCTCGTTCTAGACTACTACATTTAGACGATTGGACAGTATAAATAACAAAAACCAAGGTAATATCAATAATACAAAGTATAATTTTGAATCAGTCATGAATGGGCTCAATAAGTATATGAAGAAAAAGAAACAAAACATAGCTGAAAATCAAGAAAAGAAGGAAGAATTGGTTACTATGTCAGTCTCAGCCCAACATCAAATAGACATCAAACATAAAATTGATTGTTTGAATAGTGAAATATTTTTGAATGTAAAAGGTCACTTAAATTACTCATAAGAAAAATCATTAATAATACAAGCTTTTGAACTTAATCTAAAGTTATCTACTCATTCAATGGCATTCTATATTATTTCTGAAGGTCTGCCTAAGCATTTAGTACATGATCTATATGACTAATTATAGCAAGACTGCACTTTTTCTTTTCAATTCTGTGTTTGTAGTTTCTTTTCTTTCCTTCCTTTATTTCTAATATTCTCGGGCATCTTATGAATTCTCATGTCTTAGTTTTTACATTCTTAATTCATCTGTCTTTATTCTCAACTTATTTTTATATCTGTTTTTGGTTGCTATTTAAGATAACATTTAATCAATATTGTAAATTACAATAATAGTTTGTTCGTTTATAAATTTTTGTATTTTTCTTGAAGATGATTATTTAATATATCGAAGCTTCAAAAATAAATAATTTCATTAAGATAAGTAAAATTTAATTTTGTAAAACTTTTATTAATTAATAATTATTTTGGAATCGGTACTATTTACATTCATTTACTCAGACTGAGTTGCTTGGTTTACACATTTTTACTGGCTTGTATACCTGACAATTAGTGATGAGGAAGTATGATGTGTATTGAAGGGTTTTGTTATTTCTTTTTTTTTCATTCTTTCTCTATGAGTGGTGGTGCTAATATATTGAAAAAGTGTGCATTTTTCTTTACATTTTACGCATACATTCTCATTGAGATGTAATTAATGCTTGCCACATGCTCGTGTGACGTTTTCTTCCACTTCTTGCTTTAATTTACCAATGATCTTTTCTTCTTAACGATCAAAGAAAGTATGCTCTCGGGTGTCAAAGAACGATGTTGCTATGTATCTTATTGCAAGTTAGTCTAGAGTAATGAGCAGAGTTTTCTTTTCTTTTCTAGAAACATGACAATTGGTCTTCGAAAAACTGTTTCAAATTTACTTGAAGCACTTGTAAACGAAACAGCTGTCGATATACAATGGCCATATGGAAATACGGTGATAGCGACAATCGCAGATGTCCAAGATCCCAAGGTACGACATTCGATCACTGCCAACTGTGAAAAGAGTCCATTCTCGAATGAAGTGGAACATTTTGAATGGGGAACTATAATGATTGATGAATGTCCTGTGGAAAACATGACTGATTTACTTCTACTAGGCTTCAATCAAAAACAGTGTTCTATTTTGAAGCAAAACATCGAAGCAACTGACTATCTCGAAACGATTTATGAACAATGTCGTACATCACAACCGAAAATATTGAAATATCTTGCGAATTTGATTGGATCTTCATTTCCGTTGAATTTCGATCCGACACAACCAAAAGCATATGCCATGCTATTAGCACAAGTTCCAGCACGTGAGGCACTCATTATTACCGAAACATGTGGGAATGTTGATGGATCAACTGGAAATCCAATAAAAAATGTAATGATTGGCCAAAAGCCCGGTGCAATACAACATCATCCGATTTCGGTGGCTTTCCAACATGGGACTTCTCAAATTCAGCTTGTTTCTCACCCAAATGCTACAATGCACGAAGCAGGTTCAATTCCGAAGCATCTTTTAAATAGATTTAAATTCTACACAGATAACAATCAAGTTCCGATGAACAACTATGCTACCAACGTAGCTAATAAGCAATCGAATATTCAGGGTACGATTGATGCGTTTGTTTTATTATCAAAACGTAGTTTCATTCCAATCGATGGTGATTTTCAAATTAAAACAAGTTTTCCGGCACAAATCACATCAGAGAATCGTATTATTGATTGGAATACAGCTGAAGATGCCATTGAATGTGCTCGAGTTGTTGCACAATTGGCAAGTCTCGAAAAACTGCCAGATCATGTCTGGATACTACCAACATTGTTCGCAGCTCAAGTTAAGGGCGATGACAATACAACATTTTACATTCGTGGTGGTCTCAGTGACGCCTACAGCAACGGAGCTCTTGTTGGCATACCTGAACATCTGACGCCGATTACGGCATGTGCTCTCACTGCTCGAAATATTATTACATCTGACAAAACATTATTTGAAAGTTTAGTTGAATTTGGTTTCGATGCAGTGGCCTTATTTAGAGACATATCAGATGCTATTATCGGCGCCCAATTACACTTCATAGCTATTCGTTGGATACCTGATGCTCATACACAAAATGTAGCCTATTTATTGGACATGCATCAAAAATGTTTTGCAGGTCTTCTCCTCAAAGATTCTGAATGTGAAAAAAATAAAATAATCCGTGGAGGAAAATTGGCATCTTTGATATTTGCTTCGACACCTCCGTCAAAATATGAACAAAGCTTAACGCAGCGAATTATTGTTTCTACACTTTACTTTCATCATACGATTTATACGAAGCATATTGAACCATTGGCGCGACTCTTGAACAAGAAATATCATATATCTATTGTGGATATTCAGACAATTACACACAATAGTTTAACATCGTGGCTCCAGAAGAATATAAATGCGGACATGGAACATAAGATTGATCTTACTGGTCGATACTACGAAAGAAACTTGGCTTGTAAAACATTGAAAATTGGCGAACCACCTCACTATCGTCTTTTGCCGAATCATAAATTGATTCCAGCGATTCATTGATTATCGTATGAAAGGTGGCCGTGAGCAACGCGACTGCTGTACTCCAGACCGCTGCTCTTATGATACTTACTTTCCGAATACTTGTGCTCTATGAACACCATGTAATATCCCTACAGATCATAAGTATAATACATAAATTTATTGAATTATGACGAAGAAATAAACGTTTGAATGATAAAAATCTTATTAATTATAATTATAATTAATAGAAATATTATATAATTAGAAATAATCAACAAAAGTAGAACGATAGAACTGGAGCGTGTTTGTATATGTTGCCAAAGAGAAGATTCATACTCACACCCACTGCTACCAGTGTAGTCAAGTGAGTTCATTTTTGCATACAATTTAAAAAAACAAATTAGAAAAAGCACTCTGGATATGGGTGCGAATGATTTCACAGTTTCCATTTTTTCCTACAAGAGAAGATTTCTAATTCAATCAGACGTTCTTTTTATGACTCAGACTCTTAATTTTGCTTTGATTCTGGAAACTAAATCATCGTGTATGATGAACTAAGTTTACCAGATTGCCTTTCAAATTGCAGTTACGTCTGTTGTTTCTGGTTTTGTAAATGAATTGGCAATTTCTATACAATTGAAAGAAGGTTATTTAATAGCTATTGTACCGGGTTTGAAAAGTGAAAAGGAATCATTGGAAAGAAATTCAAGAAAAGGTAAAAAAAGATACGTTTACTAATAAACATTATCATCACCGAGCCAACATCGATTATTGTATACAAGCAATGTTTGAAAAATATCAACGATCTTGCAGTTATGGGCTTCGATAAACAACAATTGGCGCTGTTGCAACAAAAATTTATCAGTAATAATCATTTTGGAAAAAAATTATGGAGAAAGTAAAATTCAAGATCCTATCTTAATTATAATACTCGAGGAAATATTAGACACAGAATTTGAATTTAAAGAAATACAAAGTTACGCTGGATGAGTACATCTATTTAATTTTTTACCACAACGTGAAGCATTTATATTCTGCGATAGCTGCGACAATATTGATGGTTCAACAGGAATTCTGCTGAAGAATTTGATGTTTGACAAAGATGTGAACATGATTGAATATCATCCAATTCTTATCGCATTTCACCATGGCTTATCGAAGTTATTTCTCGTACAACGTGAGCCAGCGAAGATTTGATCCATTGGAAAATTTTTTGAACGATTGGAATGTTCTTTGGATTTTATAACAACTGGAATCATTCCAATGAATCCGTATTCGTATAAGGTTATCAATGAAGACCAATTATCGCCAACATCGAATCATTTTTTGGAAGCATTTACTCTCTTATCGAAACGTTCATTTATTCCTTTCATGCGTGATTATCAGAAAAAAACAAGTTCTTCAGCTCAAATAATATTGGAAATACGAACAAGTGATTGGGTCACAGCGCGCGAGTCATGAGTAGCAGTCATATTGTTTCACAATTAGCTCAAAAACGACTGTTATCAGATAATTTTTTCGTGCTTTTAACTCAATATGTGTTACAGACAAATAATGACGACCGAAGAGCATTCTTCATTCGAGATGGATTACAGGATGCAATTAGCAATTCGATGCAGAGAGGATTACCGAAAGAACTGACTCCAATCGCTGCTTGTTCATTAACAAGTCGAAATATATTGATACCTGGTAAAATTCTAATGGAAAGTATGCTTGAATTCGGTTTCAATGAAGAAGAACTATTCGAAACAATATCACGAACAATTATTTAATTCGACAGGGATTTCGTTTAAAATGCTTCTAGTAGTTCTGGAATTTCAGTTTCTAAACAGGAAACAAGAGAGATTTCTTAGTGGGAAGAGAAATTAGTGAGGACACAAAAAATAAGTCAACTTCCAAATAATGCAACAAAATTTTCCAGCAAATCCATTGATAGTTCTATGTCTTCCAAAGAATCATTCTTTTGTGCAATAATATAGAAAAATAAGGCATATAATGGAAATAAAGAGAGCAATGGCACGAGTAGGAGCTTCATCTCTATTTCTCAGCATCTATCATTCTCTAATCACTTCATGGCTCTAGAGTTTGCCAGCATATTGGCAATGCTTCCTTTACTTCATCACTAAACTATTCTCTTATTCACTAGCATATTATGAAAAAGCGACAGATTCTGTACATATCACTTTATTTGTTCGTTGCATAAGATTAAAAATAAAACATCTGTTATCTCATTCTTATTGTTGATAGAAGATACGATAATCAATATTGCACAACAGCGTTGAAAATCATCTATCCAACATATAAGAAAAGCAAGAGGACAATAACTTGCATGTTGGCTAGATCACACGAAAGCACAGATGCACAATACATCGTAAATTCACAATAAAGAATACGTACGATGAAAATACATTATGCTCTACTTTTTGCACTCCACAACCATAGTCATAAGAAAAGAAACAACAAAAATGTTGTCAAGTAACCTTAAAATATAACTACGCACAAGGAATCAAGACCATGAAGCTCTTTTTTACTCTCTATTGTTTACAGGTTGACTTTTTACATGACCTAACAATAATTAATTGAAAAGTCGCCAGTAGTAATCGTACACAACAAAAGTTTCGAATGTTGTCATGAACAATATGTGATCTCGAATCGTTTGTTAAATTGAAATTGAAGCCAAATAAAATTATCCGCGAATGAATATTGACTTCTTTTTTATTGTTGAGCGAATCTCGACGAATGAATCTTTCAATCTATTATCAATTAAAATGATTTGAGATTTTCACTGAAACTAAATATGATACAATCTAAAAACTACGGATTGTTTATCGAACAATCAGATTCGTGTAACATACTAATAAGATAACACAATGATAAAAAAAAATCCAAATTCAATAATGATTTATTTTTTCTATTGAAATGAATGAATTAGTCAATCACTTACACGTAATTGTTTATTGTCGTTATTCGATCAACTATAGAGACTTCTTTTCAATCTATAGATTTAAATGTTGTAATTTATGTCTATCAGTAGAATCAATCGATGATATATCATCAAGGTATTATCTCTTTAACCTGGATATATATAACATTAGCATCAATCATGTTTGAACGACTAACCTTTATCTGAATTGTTCATAGTGGCACTGTTTCCATTAGCTTTCTATCAATTTTTTTGACTCTCATTTGAAAGACTTTACCTTAAACTATTGACCCATTCTATAGTTACCATAGCATATTGTTGTGCAATGCTCGAAAATTGACCAATAACCTGTTTGAAGCAAATGCTCATTTTAAGAATTTTATTTATGATTTCAATTCAGTAATAATGAAGTTGCGAAGGAACAGTTTTTATTAGTAGCAAAGATTATCATAGAATAAGCTCATTTGAGCTTGAAGAGAGAGTCTTCAGAAAAGAGAATGAGTTCGCATAGCACCATGAATAATATTTATTTGCATATGTGCATTTTCCATTACAACAATTTGTTGGACCTGTCCATCCAATACCACCACATTGACCATATAAAACACTGCACGATCCTCCTGATACAAACAAATAAGAAGGAATTAGAACTCCTCTAATATTGATATTACTTTATCCAATCTGAAGATCACTCAAATGTGTTCTCATTAATATGAATCAATGAAGAAAACTAATTCCTAATCTGTCGGACAGCTATTATCAAGCCTATAAGAATTCCTAGAAGCTTCAAAGTAAATATAGATTACTTCAGTGTCTTTCTGCTTAGTATTAAAACTACTAATTGATCTAACCTGAATTCGATAACGATGATAAAGTTGGTGTACACCATGCATAATAATTGTTTCCATAAGTGCATGTTGATCCACTACAACATTTTGTTGAACCTGAGTATCCAATACCACCACATCGACCATAAGCGGAAACGCATCCTTCAAAAATTTGAAAAACAAACAAATCACAGACGATATCAGAATGTATGATAACTACTGTTGTATAATCTCATTGGATTTCAATTTCCGTTAAATATTTTTCTGACGAAATCTGAGTTATATCATAAACTAAATAACTAAGACTGACGTTGATAATATATTAGTTGTCTAATGACAGTTTTTCAAGAATGGCAAATAGCAATTTCTAAACAATTGGAAAACTATTGGTAAGAAGTATTCATTAATTCTCTCGAAAGATCTTAATACACTGTCTCATAGTTTCGAATATGATTTATTTCAATTACTAGTCAGTTCTTTAATCGAAATGATCATTCTAATGAAGCCTTTACACTGATGTTCAAAATACTTGTGAAAGTAGTTCTACCTGAACTTGGTGATGAGACAGTCATAGCTAATGTTAATGACGGTGTTGCACACCATGAATAGTATTCATTTGTATAAGTGCATTTTCCATCACAACAATTTGTTGGACCTTTCCATCCAATGCCACCACACTGACCATACACAACATTGCACGATCCTTGAACGAAAAAATAAAAAATAATAAAAATTATCATGATATTGTCTCATTGAATGGCATTTTTATCTAAATATTCTTCTCAAGAAATCATTATAACATTACAAACTGGTTATTACTGAAATTTATTGCTTATAATATAGGTTCTCATCAGATAGCTATCTCGTTCTATGAGCAGAACTTTGAAATCCAAACTAAATATCCGGTTTTTGAAAACCTTGTAAGCACTTAGGAGTCAAGAAGCACTATTGTGTACAGACATGCACATACACATAGTTGTCTATTATTAAGACTATGACATTGATTTAGAAATAATTGTTAGTAGAACTTCGTGTAAGGTTATAATTGGCCCTACCTGAAGTTGATGATGAAACACCTGGTGTACACCATGCATAATAGTTACTTCCATAAGTACATGTGGATCCACTACAACATTGTGTTGCACCTGAATATCCAATGCCACCACATTGAGTATAATGAGGTGCACATGGACCTACAGAAATAACAAAGACTTAACAAACATTATCAACCATTTTTAAATTGTTATTACTAATTTTTGGTAGATTTACTAATCCTACGAACATAATAATCAAAGCTTTGAACATTATTGGTTTCATTTCTAATGATAAATATGGACAGAATATAATTTTGTGTGATCTCGTGCACACGTCCTTATTCTGATATTTAAGTTTGACAAAAACTTATTTGTCAAGAGTAAAGTGGTATCTCTTCTTTAATTTATATGCGTTCGATAGGCCACCTACAATAGTCCCAAAAAATCCATCATTATTAGATGTACGCCGTTCTTCACATATGCATCAGACATATTACTCATTTGACTTTTATTTTTTACATTTAAATAATGAATCATATTTAACCTTGTAATGCTTTATTTTTTCTTCTAATCATTTGATTGCTTTTTTTATGTCATGTATTTTAGCATATGCATGATTTTAGTGCTTTAACTATCTCTAATCCTTTTGCACTTTTGCTGACTTTAGTCATCTTTCGACTTTTTGTACGTGATTAAATTTTTACAAGATATTATTTAACATTAATATGATGTTTCTCGGATAATTACATCTATCTATTGCTTGATTGAATGCCTTAATCTTGGATCACCGTCTATGAAACGTATATTTCGTGCTACAAATTATCTGAATTTGTATTGACTTAGTTTATATGATCTCGAAATAGAAAAAGCTAAACATCTGTTTGCTGGTTAGATATTTCACTTGATTTGGCTTGAGTTCTGAACATATAAGAAGTATAGGAAAAATAATGACCACTATATTTCATATAGTTGAATTGATCACTGAAAATTTTATTCATTTTATAATTGACTATAAAATATGAATAAGAATAGTATCATTATTGAAAAAATTCATAGAAAGATAATATGTATGTTTTATTCTTATGAAAAATAAGATATTTACAGAAGATTTGTTTTCATCTTGTTTATTTGAAATGCTTGAATAATATTCTTAGAAGTAAAGAAATATCAGAATGAAAAGAAATTATCGTTATAAATGGGCAAGCTAGCAAAGCATCGCTAATCATACTGAACAAAAAATAATTAGATTTCGAAGAAGAATAAATTTTTTTTTATACGACAGAGATGGACGAGTTTCAATGTCACACCACCATACATGGTCATGATGGCGCACCACAATATTTCACGATTATCCCGTATCTTCATAAAGATACGCTTTTCTTTAAATACAGTCAGAGAATCCGGTTATGAAAAAATAAGGTTTATAAATTCCGATACACATTCTCCAAAGCCGTAGTCATGTAGAATTCTTAGAGACATATCATTGACCACAGTCAAGTGTCTGACTTTTTTAACAATAAAAATAGCCAGATGCAGGAAGAGAGAAAAAATTGAAAAAAATTGTCCCTTATAATAGTTGGTTCATTATGATCTTAGACATTAGTTGCATACACTGTGACAGAAATTAATGCTGTACCTTTGGATAATTTTGCACTTATGTCACTATAATAAAAATAGAGAATATTATCTATGAAAACAAAGAACATTTACGCAGCCCAGTGACACATCGTCGATGAAAGCATCTCATATTTTGGTATTGATTACCCATTATAATTTTATCAAAGACAATATTTGTTTCGCCATAAAAGTACGCTGGTACACCACATACAGCAAGACCATTAACTGCAGGACTTGGATCAAGGTTAAGTGAAGTTTCAGCTTCATTAATAACTGAAGTTATAATGATGTCGAATCTGATGTTGAGTGTTTTATTTTTAGCACAGTTTGAGGCCATTTCAAATCCTTCATTTGTTTTAATATTGCCGCCGGGTAGAATTTTTTTCCATGTCGTGAATGAATTTAGCATGTTTCTTCAAAATAAAAAGAAAACGAAAATTAATAAATAAGAAAAAGAAATAAAAATTAATTTCTCATTTGATTGATTCGGGAAATGTACGTTTTATTCCCAGAAGTAGAAATAAATATGATTAGAATAAACAAAGCGATTGTAACGCAAAAAAAGCATTTCATTGATTTATTACATGTCAAGTTTATGTATAGTTTAACTTTCCAATAGAAAAGAATGACATAAAGGATAAACAACAAGACTAATTAAGCTTGAGTTTAATTTATCTCAGCAGTATTCAAAATATCACTTTCCCACGACTTCAATTAAAATCATCAATGCACAGTATCTATAACATATCCAAGCAAAACTCTTGCAAAATTTTACTGCTTTCGTCAACCGAAATAATTAAATTGTATTCAATCTTTGATAGTTGCATTTATTTCGTAGTATTCTTTACAGCATATATCTGAGATTTTAACAGTATGTCTATGTAGTTTTTCTATTAGGAATACGATGTTGCACATCTCACTAATATAGGTAAACAACTAGCTGTGAGTTTTTGAATATTGACTTCGCATACTAAGCTTCTGACTCATAAGTGTCAACTGTATTTGCAGTAAACATCATTTCGTAGGTGCTTCTTCAAAGATAACTGATAGCTTTTTGCAAATTACATTTTTGCGTTTTTCCAACTATAAGTAATTCATTTTTCACGTCATAGCTGTGGGCGCCGATGAATGTGTGTGTGGCTCTATTGAAGGTGTTGAATGCAAGTACATTCCTCCTCCCCTATATATACATCCTGTTGTGTTCTGCTCGTTGTTGATCAGCTCGTTTATTAATTCATCGTATCAGCATGTTGGCTATTCCATTGATCACTACATTTCAAGTTCGTTCGTCTTCTTTCAATGGCAATTTCAAGAACATCAGCATTGTCGATATTCATTGTCGGGATAAACCAAAATGAACAATTAATCTAAAAACAAAAAAAAGGCAAACCATCAGTCATAGCGAATCAAACAAATACACAACCTTGGTTTTGTAACAATCGCAGAAGAAACATCCTCTTTATTAGAAAAAAGAACGTCCATTAAATATACTATTTCGATTGTTTATAAACAAATTCATTTGAAGCTAAGTGCGGAAGCAATAGAAAATAAAAATAGAAAATCTATAAAAATCAAATTTATTCATTTCATTCTCCCTAACTTATAGTTTAATACTTGATCACAAAGTAACCGTTTCTGGTAAACACTGTCTTTTTGAAAAAAGTTCATAGGCGAATAAACACCTATGATAAGCTAAGATTAAAGAAAGAATTTCATCAACTGTTAGTGACTGATGAATCCATCTATCGACTCATAATGATAAACGTAAAATATATACAAATAATGATGTACGATCTTAACCTAATATGCAATGTATAAGAAGTTCATGGTCATCTACAAAATCTCAATAGAAATATCTTATATATTCATTTAAAGAAGAAACACCTATTTCGAGATGATGAAGAATTAATGGAAAATAATTTTTAGTTAGATCTATTGAATTCCAAAACTACATTTGTAAATTAAAGATTAACAATAAAATAAAATAAATGAACTTTCAATATGACCAATCTGTTGATACAAGAGAAGAAACATGTTCTGGTACGTGAAATGACGAATCGTGAAATGAAAATGACCAATCATAAGACATCGATTTACCATTATATTCCTGTATTGAAAAATCCTGAAAATATGCGCATGTTAGAAACATAAAATATAAATAAAATGATTTCATTCAGAATCTCTTTTCTACCCGAATAAGTAATAATTAATAGTTGAAAATCTCAATCACGATATTTTTATCTGAATTTTCAACTGATGTTACACGTAAGATGAAGATTTTAACGAAAACTTTCTTCTTTCAATTATTATCTAATTTTTACTTAACAACAAGTATTGTTTTTGTTCAACCATTGAATTAGTTGTAGTACTAACGTCAAGTATTTTTAATAAATCAATATCAGCTCCACGAAATTTATCAAATATGTTTTGTTGTTGGGTTACTTCTAAGTCTGATGAATCAGCAGCAGCAGCAGCAGCAGCGCCACTACTGCCAACAATTGCAATACTTACTGGTCCGTCAAAATCATTGGTTACAGGAGATGCATTTAGCGAAGAATCAATTATCCATAGATTTGTTGTGTGATTTCATGTATCTAATAAACGATCAATACTAGAAAAAGAATATAATTCATTCCAAGAAGCAACTGTTGAGGATCAACAAATACATTTAAATAAGACTATTTAAAGACACTCTTCTTTGTGACAAAAAAAATAAGTTTTACATCAAGTAATATTACAGAAATAATAAAACGTGAACGATATGGTGCAATACGAGATTGAATAAATAAATCACGAACGTCGATTTTTTATTCAATTTTTGGTGTTGTTATGCCAGACCATTTATCAATTGTAGGTAAAAGAATACATCATGGATAATATGAAGATGATTTACTATTAGTATTGAAAATTAATCAGATAACAAAGCAAAGGTATCGATAAAAACAAAAATGAAAGAAAATTACAAATAATCTTGTTACCTTTAGTTCAATAGTTGTATTCTAAAACAAAACAAGATGAAAGGTTCTATCGAAAAAATAAAGAGAACTTAGACAGACCGTTGAATGAAGTTATCGAGCATAATATATTGACTTTGTGTGACAGTCCGGAGAATTGCTCTACTATCATCACTATTTATCTTTGTAGGTTGTATCGATGCAGTAGTTCGTTGCATATAGGGAGAAGCATAAAAAGATTTTTGAAACCATCAACTATTAAAAAATAAATATTAGCTGAATATATATTGGCATACTGTCTCTCAGAAAAAAGTCTCTTCATTCGTTCAATCTATAAATAGCAAATGCACTTCTCACTATCGACATTTGTAGAAAAAAATAGGGCAAGGAAAAGAACGTGCGCATGGTGGAATCAATGAATGTACGCTTCGTATTAAAGAAGATTTAATACATCGTCAAATTCGACTGACCTTGACGAAATTGACAAAAACCATTGGTGATATTTTTCATGAAATAACGGCTATATTTAATAAATTGAATGCAAGTAATTTTTCTTTCCTTTGAAGTATTCACGTTTTGTGGATTTTCCAGACCAGTAGAAACATGTTGTCTTTCTTAGATGAGACGTGAATGAACTGCAACAAGAAGTCAATAGACGCAAACAAGAAACAAATACTTCAAAAGATCGTCAACTGCTAGTGTGTGAACTCTTTAGCAATGTTAGAGTTCTTTTAATTGATACCAGTTGAAGAGTGACATCATCTTACTACTATCTAGACGCAATTTACTATACAAGTTTTCATATCCAGAATCTACATATAGCAAACTCATTCTTATCTTATCTAATTGGAATAGTTTCGAACGAAAGCATTCTAATCATGATTAAACTTACCGATGTTTCACAGGTAAAAAGCAATCGCATGCTACTTTCTATATAGACTCTGAGATGATAGAGTTTGCCGTACGACGCATCACTGACGAGAAATATCATTTGTTGATCAACGTCGAAAGAGTCGAAATCAAAAAATTGCCACCTGTCTTCTAAGAAATTTGTCGAATTTTCAATGGTCAAAAGTATGAAGACCGTTCGCCGCCTTCTGGAAATGAACATATACGAAATGTCTTTTTTAAATTGAACTCCTATTTAACTTGCTTTTGTTGTCTTTTTAGTTCTGAATACTAGAATCTCTTCTCTATTACTATCCTCATGTTTTACTCTATTTATTTTTATGACGCCATCATATTGGACAATCGCTGTATGAATATTTCAAGTGTAATGTTTGTGGTCGCATGTCCAGAAGCGCTTATCTTCGAACAGAGCATATTCTTTTAAATAAAGCTTTGAAGAATAAGTAAAATATAATTGCAATCGTCTGATCCAACAGTGGAACATATTCTGGTTGTGTACTATCGAATAGAGTCAATTCATGTCCGGCGAGAACAAATTCACAGCGCATTTAACTCAAGCCTAATTGACTTTTCTTGACTTATGACCTCTATGCTCAAAATTACACGCTGTTGAGCGAATTTAAGATAAGGAACTGTCTTTCATGAACAGAATGCAGAGTGATTCTTTTGTAATTGATATTTGATAAAATCCTCAAGCAGACTTCGTAAAGCATACGATGGGCGCGACGAGCAGTTTAAAATTAGAAATGGGGTGTGGGTATGGATGTGATGTGTGGGGGCAGATTGAAGAGAACATCCATATCCGCACCTACCCTCCCCCTCCCCCGCCACTCACCGACACTCCGCATCCTCTATAAATTAAACGCTTTTACCCATTGAAACGCATCTATCTGCATCTGTGGACTGCGTTTGGCTATTTAAACGCATTTACATGCATCCATGGAACGCAGTTGGATGCGTTTGTTTACTAAAATCATTGGCAACTGTGTTTAAACGCATTCCAAAACGCGTTTAAATGCGCTCTTATTGCGTATGGAACTTAAATGGGTCGCGCATACATTTAATATGTCTGTTTTATTGTTCTGTCTCTCATTCACTTTTATTACACACAGAAATGATAACAGGTTAAAGCATGACGCATTAGTTACTGTTGGAAGAATGAAATTGATGTTTTTTCCAACATGTTTATGATTTGAGTAACCAGTCAAAATCCAGCAGATACTGTCATTTGCTTTTTTCGATTATAAACGCCCGCAACTTCCTGTGTAGGAATCCTTTTTACTGATAATAAGTAAAGCAAAGATCATAATTGTAAGTATGCTTCTCAAGTGTAAACATTAAACGCTTGCAAATGTCGAAATGACCATTTCTATATTCATTCATGACAGTCAAATCTATTCATTATAATAGACAGAATAGCAGCATGCAAAGAAGAGGCGTATATGATGTACGAAAAGAAATTTAGTGGATCATAGTATCTGAGTAAGAATGTGTGAAAAAGACACATCATTCTGCATAATAATATGTTCATTATTTCGGCTACATACATTACGCTCATTTCGGTCATAATGGCCATTATACATATAACTTGTTCTGCCGAATTTGTTAAGGCGTTATATTAGTTTTTCAGCAACTAATAGAAAGCACGAATAAGTTGAGAAATAGATTTCAAAATTGACGAAGTGAATTCTTATTGTTTCTCACTTGATTCTTGACAATTTGACGAGGCTTCTTTATAAATCAGGCATGTATTGAGATGAGACAGAAGGTTTCGCTCGATCCAAGGGTGCCAAATTCAAATTTTAAGAATCAGACGTTTTTCGCCAAAAATCAGGATGTCATTAGGAGATTTTTTTCTAAGAAATCAAGAGAAAACAGTCAGGAGATTTGTCCATAATTTCTTTTGGAAAACATGAACACTTTGTTAAATTTGGCTTTAAAAACAAAATATCAGACCGTTCTCTTTTAAAGAAGCCAAATGCTCACTGTTGCAAACTGTTGTGACTTGTCTTTATCAATTGAATAATGAGAATAACTACTTCACACATAAAATAAAGAAAAAAAAACAGATACAATTAGGTGCATATCCAGAAATCTCAAATTCAAGTCGGTAACTAGTAGGGTATCCAGAGGTGCCTAGGGGATGGGAGGCTGAGTTCCTCCTATGAAGATCTTTGCTCCCCCTCCTTCATAGAAAAAAAATGAATCCTATGGAAAATTGAGTTTAGCCTCCCCCTACGATGGTCTTACATAATGACTGAGCTCTTTCCTAGAATTTTTTGTGGCCATACCACTATCAGTAATGATCGTAACACCCCAACCATAACAAAATCGAGGTAACGCAAATGATGTCATATATTCTGATGGTCTATCTACTATACTAGAATAGTCATAGAAGAGCGCTCAAGATCTATTTTTTCGAGAATTTTCTTTCGGCACATCTCACATTCGAAATTTTCACTTTTCTGAGGTGTTTATTATTTTATTTTCGAATTATAGACATCTATGTAATTGAACTTATTATATTGCATTGGTATTGTCATCTGTTCATTTACTGATGACAAGAAAGTATGCGTAACGATTTTATAAGATATGACAAAAAAATGGAAAAAGAAAGTCAGAAACTAAAAGATTAACTATATAGAACTTCATTCTCACGATATTGGTAGCATGAGGATTTCTCGTTCGGTTTCTTTTGTTATTTTATAAAGATCTTCTATGATTGAATCTTGAGTTGCAATTAATATTCGAAACAAATGCGGAAAAGATATCGAAGTTCGTTTTTATTAATTAAACGCATTTTCCATATCAAGAATGTGAGCTAAAAGATTGTTGCTTCTATCTGTGACAATTATTTCTTTATATTTTTTTGAAAATTCATATTGTAGCTAAAATTGAACTTGCCAGAACTGAATAGTAGGAGAAAGCAGGAGAAAATCCTAAAAATCAGCTCCTGAATTCAGAAGATTTTTTATTAGAAGAAAAGTCAAAATATCAGGAGTCTCCGCGTCAAATTAAGAGACTTGGAAAGCCTCGCTTAGTTTCAGTTCCAGTTAGATATGAAACCTTTATTGGTTTTCTGGTTGGTCACTGGTAAGCTGATGAACCGAAGTATGTCATCTAACTTACATTTCTACTTTTCTTACATAAACTTATCCACAATGACAATTCATTTTCATAACTACCGCATTTCAGATGTGTCATGAGATTTTTTTGAATGTTAACTACATCAAATAGTCATATAGATATTGAATGAATGCGGTACTGATCGCGATAAATTTAGATCGGTTCCATCTATAACTCAGTTCGATTGATACCTAGTTGATTGAGATTGGTGTGTATCTATGAACCAAACCCTACTCAATTTTTTATCGAATTTTTCATCGATTCTTGTCAAGATCAGTTATGAAGTCTGAAAGAAGCCGTGAAATTCAACTTTAAGTATGCTTTAACAACATTCAACACTCTTGATCTGAGATTATTTCTAGCAAGCCTATGAAAAGATTCTCATGATAGAAAAAAAACGAAATTGAAACAAGTTTCTTATTAGGTTTTAACAAAATTCACCAGTTTAGGAATGCCATTAATCTTCCTTTTTATTCTTGATAAAATTCTTACATGGTACAGCTGTAATTTCTGAATAGACCCTGATATGAAATTTCCAAATAAATGCTTTGCTAAACTTGATAAGTTCAAGATAAAAAGTTCTTTCTGTTATGTTGGTTATAATTTCTTTCAACTGGCATGAAGAATACTTGAAAATAAAATATCTATTTCTCTGTTAAGCAGAAAAATCTGAGTTGAAACAGTTCACGTCTGAAAATTCTGGGGCCTATAGAATCTACTCACAAAAGATCAGCCCAATAGTTGCGAATCCAACTATTTAAAGTAGACCACCGGACCCGATCCATGCCCAAAAAAATTTTATCGGTCGGGTCCAGATCAGACAAATCTTAATCGGTCCAGTTTTGATCCAAAACTTCTTAAACCCAACGGATTCTAGGCAGCAGTGATCTTTTCTCTTGAGAAATTTTCGTTCTTTCCCAACAAATTTTCACCGTTTTATTCGATTTTCGCTCACCAACTATTAAAAATCTCTCGACTATCTCCCTTAGAATCTGGTAAACTTTAGCAAAAATCTTCAAATAGGCCTCCTGAGTTGTCGAACCACCACTGAATTCGGCAGCCTCGGGACCCTCCTCACTCATGAGAGACCTCCTTGTTACTCATTTATAATGAAAACTTGAAAAAAAAATTGCATCAGCAATATTAAATGCAGATTACAAAATAGAAAAATATAACTGTGAAGAGTGGGTCTGGTTACATATTGACATTAGTTGTATAAAACAAAGAGTAGATAGAAACGCGTAGCTTATGTTAATCGATTAACACAATTATTTATCAATTGCCAATTAACGAGAAAATTTTTTGAACTGCAAACAACATCTTTGGATATTGTGAGGAAATGTTTTTTTTGTGAAGGAGGGGAGATCAATAGAGCCAATTTCGCTCCTAAATACGTCACTGGTAGAAACTTGAAAGAAGCATCATGCTTCACCATGAGACATCGTGAAAATAGCAAATAATAGAACTGGAAATAAGTTACGAATAAATCTTAACAGGATCATTCATAATCATGAGTGGGTTGGGGTAGATACCGGGTGCGGGTAGGTGTCTACGTGAGTGTTTTACGAAGGAGTATAGTTTCTTATATACCATATCCGTATCGACACCCACAATAACATCTATGCCCACACCTCAAACTTTCGAAACCTCTTCAAGGAATAAACGGAACTGAGGCTGGTGATAATTGAATAATTCAAAAGTCGATTGAAACTAAGCAGTCCTACTCTACTGAAAACACAAAATACTAACAATTGATTAATCCGTTCCCTTTCGCTCGAGCAAACCGAGGCATGTAGTACAAACGCTAAACAAGTCAATATTAAAAATTACAATATATTTTTCTCAGATATAAGTATGATATTTGATCAAATTGCTCGAAATGACATTTATCTTCAAAACAAAATTGGTAATGGTGGTTTTGGTAAGTATGAAACAAAAAAAAAGATTAAAAACTTATTTTGCGTCTAACAAAAGAAAATCATCTCTAGGTGTGGTTTACAAAGCGTTATGGTTATCAAAAAATTCTACCGTTGCATGTAAATGTATTGATATAAGTTTAAAGGAGAACTCCAATTCTAAATCAACAATAGATATGTTCCTTGGAGAAGTAGCAGGCTATGCGTTATGCAGGGGCCCATTTATTTTACATATACATGGTTGGTCTGCTGAAAAACTACCACCAGATCACTTGCGCCTTTTAATTATTATGGAATATATGCAAAAAGGGAGTTTAACAAAACTTTTACAACAAGAATATAATCAATTAACAAACAGAAGAAAAGTATTAATTGCTTGTGATATAGTATCAGGTATGCATCGCATTCATCAGCACGGTGTGATTCATCGCGACATACGTCCGGACAATATTTTAATTGACAATTGTTATAGAGCTAAAATAGGTGATATGGGTATATCCCAATCATATTATCCTCAGTTTGGCTTCAACAATTCACCAATGGGCTGCATACGTTATATGCCACCTGAATTTTATTGGAATACATATAATCAAACACTGGACGTATTTACATTTGGTTTAACATTAAATCATTTATTTACAGGTACAGATCATAATTTTGATCCAAATACAAAAACAACTATATTAACAAAAATAAGTCCTCTATTTCCAAACTTAATTCGTTATTGTTTAAATCCAAATCCAAACTATCGTCCTTCAGCACAACAAATAGAATATATATTGTATGGGTTTCGTTCATATTTAGAATGGAGAATACAGTTCAATTATCAATATCATCATTTATCCAAAGAACAAAAAGATTTCTTTTGTTCTTTAGTATATAGAGAAAGATATTTTGATACTAACTATTAATATCACACGGAATCAGTGTGATTGTGTTGCAAATTGCCATGACATATATTTCTACCTTGCCTAAGGGTCTTGTCAAATGACTTATTTGTGTCAATTGAAATAAATCTAAAAAGTAAAGCGACACTCTTATAATATGTTTCAAAAAATAGATTGTGTAGGTGTGTATGTGAGTGGAAATGCATTCCCATCGACAGCCACACTTACAGACCCAACACACGCACATCCACACCCCTTCTTAGTTCAGATGTTGCCTTAAAAATTAAATCAAAGCATTTTTTCAAATTCGTTTTTAGCTTTTTTAAAGTTGATTATACATTTCTTGCACTTAAATTCAAGCCAGCTCAAGTGTAAAAATGTCAATACAATTTTATATTTGAATGTAAATAATAGCTCTTCACCAATCCGGATTTAATTTATCTAAAATATCTAAACAACTCAAAATTTCACATTGTTGAATGCGAAGTGGAATAATCAAACTTGAACAACATGACATATTCGAATATTTGAAACGATCTGATGACAGATGATAATCGATCAAGTGTGACTAGAAACACATCAGAATTACATATTAGTCTGCCATAGCCACCAGTATCGAAAGACACTACATTGTTTTCTCAGGAGATTTGATTATGAATGCACTATAAAACTAAGAATGCATTGGCGAAGTGCCAAGCATAAGAAAACTTGTGTCGAATGGTGCAATTTCCCTATTTTGCCTTTGAAATAATATAAAGAATAATGCAAAGTATCGTAAACTTTTTCCTAAGTGGAAAAAATGTATTTCACTTTTTATCCTCAGCTAACAATCAACTTGACTGTACATAAATGAACTATGTTGGTATCAATCCTAACTACATATAAATATATAAAGACATTTATTCTCGCTTACCTTTTTAAAGAAAATTTAAAGAAATTAAGTGTTTTAAACTTTTGCTGTCTACATTATGTGACTATGAGGTTTTCGTTTAGGTACACCATGAACATGAAGTCTTTTAGGGTTTTGTAAATTTTACTGAGCTTGACACACAGTCAAACAAATTTTATATTAAATTACACTGCATCAAAAGTGGAATTCATCAATACTTAAGGAGGGAGGTGTGAACATGTTCTTCATAACTTACACTCCATTCACAATTACAGACGCACTCTAGCCACAATCACACCCACCCCGAAGCCTAGACCTACATTCCATTCACAGCAGCACCAACACTCACACCCAAGGAAACAAAATTCTTTTAAAATTAGATACAATGCAACATGCTATTCAATGTTTCTTTTTGAATTTTGGCACGTACTTAGTAAAACTGACAAAAATCTTTAGTTTTTAGCAGCTGATATAAGTAAAATCGTTCAAGCAATTATGGCTATTGATATTTATGGACAAGCTCGTTTGTTTAACCGATACTTTTCTGAAATCATCCCACCACTGTATCATATATTCTCTCCTATATTTAATTGTTCAGAAACTGTTCGATTAGCTTTTTTTGGTTTTTGTTCCGCGAGCGATCAAGTACCCATTGTAGTCTCTGGGCAAACATGATAAAGATTGATATTTTTCTATTCTTTCACACAATTACGAAACCAGAACTTTGATAGTGGGAAAATTCAATCAGCTGAGTGAGCATGAGTTGATCGAGCCTGCGTTTTATCCAGATATCCTCTTCCCGAGAGGCAATTTAAAACTCCAAGCGACTAAACATCTAGTTTTGGGAATGTAGTGAATTAAGTTCTATTCGGTGACATATAAGAGGCACCATTCAGTTCGATAGAAGAGAATTAACTCTTTCTTATTTACATCAAGACCGTTTTCATCGAGCCTGTTTGATTCGAAAGTCTTCGACTAGAACTCAGTCAATAGAATGATTTCGAAATCGGATCTGACCAACTCTATCGTTCTTCGTCTCGTATGTAATCAAGCGATTTCTGAACCATTCCTGTTTGAGCTTGCGACTCGTTTAGACAATTGATTATCATAATTTATCACAAGAATGAAAAAAAGAACGATAGTCTCGAAAGAGGCACGCACAAATAAATAATATATTGTTTATCGAATACGAGATTTGTCATTGACAATAAAAATATTTTTTGCTGAACCAACAATCATATTTGGTCGAATGACATCTGTATCAGCACAATAAACAGCATTTTCAAGATCTGTTATACCACCGACCATCTGTTTTAAACAAAAGATACGTTAGTATATATAAAGAAAAAGTTATTTTTTCTTACTTGTAATATTGAATAATCATAAATAATAGCTTCGTTTTTATCATTTCCAGCACATAAAATAAAGTTTTTCGGAGAAAATTTTGTACAATAAAGCTAAAATGATTATTGATTTTTTAAAGATTTTATTTATTTTTAACTTACCATTGATGTAGCATTATTTTGAAAAGCATCTTTAATAAGTTCACCTGTTGAAAAATCCCAAATCTAGAAATATTCAATAAAGAAAATAAATTTTCTTTTGTTCTGTTTATTCAAACTTGTAATGTTGAATATTTTCTCCAAGAACCTGTTAAAATAACTTGATGTTCAGCTATAATATCTAAAGCATCACCACATAAATGTGGACCAGAAAAATGTTTTTGCGAATGCGGTGCACGTTCATCCCAATAATGAATAGTTTCATCCCAACCGCCCGTAAGAAAAATAGATTCTATAGTTGGATGTGAACGAATAGCATGAATACGATTTTTATGACCATCCATATGTTCTCGACTTTCTCTAAATTGATTTAATAATAATATTGTAGAAAAATTTAATTAAAAAAATAACAACTTACGATGCCTGTAATTTACGAATTAATTTTTTTGTTGTAAAATCATAGCAATTTATCGCACAGTCACTACCTAACAAAGAAATAAAATGAATGAATTTGAATTTTTCATGTGATTTCTTTTACCAGCAACGAATAAATGTGTATAAGTGCTGTTGAAATCCAGTGCCAATGGTTGTCTGTCTTTTTCATCGAATGTAAAAACACATTGTTGAGTTGGATAATGCCAAACTTTCACATAGCCAGCAGTGTCTATGCATAAAGAATGCATATGAAAAGATTTACTTATAATTTCACATACAAGTAGCAGCTAGCATTTTTTGATGATCAGCTTTTAAATCATCTTTATTTGCATAGAATTTCAGACATGTTACAGGATAACCTGAGAAATATGAAATATTCGAAAGAAATATGTTCAATTCAAATAAATAATATTTACGTCGAGTTTTCGTGTCATTGTCAGAGAGAGCATATTGAAAATGACCTGATTTCGAATAGATCTGCAATAATATATTTTAAAGTAATATTTTCAAAACTGAAGTCAAAAATAGACAAGAATGGCTTTCGATTTCAAATCTTTTCAAAGAATACTTTTAATATTTCTATCGTTTGTTTCGATTTTTATTAGTTATTTTTTATTGCTAATAAATAACAAGTGGACCAGAATGCATAGCCATGTTTTATATATCAGAAGATATTGCGTGAAAAGCTCTACAATCTTACAATGCGAAGCTTATTTTATATGTGCACATTTTGTTTTTAAAATTCACCACATTCTGTGTGATCAACTTTCGCACACTGCGAACAAGATCTTTTGTTGATACACGACGAATTCTTTATCTTATTTCATCAATTGATGAATCTTAATATTTAACGCTATTCCGATAGCCACATTTCGTAATTGTTTAGCAATTTGAATCGATGTCATACTATCCTCCATTATTGGCATAATAACTTTCGTAAGTATTCATATTTCATTTCTTTTTCTTAACTAACACACTTATACACATGTGTTTTATAATTGCAAATTTTGTATGTCACTCTAATAAGTAACACGCAAAAATAAGAAAAGAAGTTCGTCATGCACTGAAAAAAAAAGTAACATTTCATAGCATCAAAATTAAATGACACAGACTTTTTCCTATTTTAAAAATTAAAGACGCAAATATAAAATAAGATATTCATTGTAGATTGTAATGTACTTCATTAACATTTTTTTGTGAAAACATAATAAATGAGAACTCACTAATTACTATTTTCTGTCTAAATGAAAAATGATGCAAATCAACACAATATATTATTGATATGCATTATTTAGTTAGTATTGTTTAAAAACAGTATACCATAAAATGCAATCATATTCTCTCAACAAGGAGATGAACTTAAAAAAAAATTGCTTCCGTTTTAGGAAAAGCACAATGAATCATGCATCCTATTTCTATACAATAAAAGCATCTACAATCGATTTGATTACAACATGAAAATGTGTTAAGAAAGAAAATTTTTATTACATAGACACTCTTAGAAAACTTGAAAACATACTTTAATTGTACCATTACCTAATCCAACAGCAAATACATCGGCATGTGGACTAAATTTACAACACAGGACATATTCTTCACAATCACTATAATTGAATAAAGTTTTTTTATTTTTTTTTTGTAAATATTGTTTGTATTCATTTTGACTTACACAACATTAGTCAATTCAAAATCACCCAATATCAAATGTTTGGGACGATTATCAACCGGTTTAGTTATTGACATTCGACTTGCACGATTAGTACTCGACGCAGTCTTTAGGGAGACTTCACTATTTGCCAAGGAGATTGAACCACGTCGTTCACCTAAGTAGTTTTATTAAATAGTCATTAAAAACAATTAAACATCAAATATCAAGAAAGAAAGAGACATAAAATGAACGTATCAACTGATTTCGAAGATGTTGTCATTGTATCAGGATGAAAGTTATATTATGTCTTATGTTTTACATTAAGTCAAACAATTGTAAAATACTCAATCAAACTATCATATTATAATTTGTTATTTTCTGGTAAAACAATAAATAAGATTGAATGGATGAATGATTGAAGAATGTATTGGAAAAGAAAAACAGCATGAGAACGAACAAAGAAAAGGAAAACAGAGATCATCACAACAGCATGACGACTACGTGAGATATTGAGAAAAGAAAAAAACATGCATG